GCTCCGCGGCATGTGGGATCTTCCCGGACTGGGGCACGAACCCGTCTCCCCTGCATCGGCCCGCGGACTCTCAACCAACCACTGCGCCACCAGGGAAGCCCTGAGCCTGGGCTTTGAAACACTCACACGCACTTGTAAATGGCTCCAGCAACCCGTACTCTTATTCCCCTGCCCAGGCCAGCACTGAGGTCCAGCACGCAAACCCTCCAGCCCTGGCGCACGCTGGGGTCAGTGGTGGCTTAGTTAATGGGACACTTTCAGAAATATTCTTGAAGTTAAGCGTCTGCCTCTCCTGAAGGAATTAAAGTCTAGTGGAATCCTTTTGCCCCAATCTTTAACGTAAACTAGTTCACAGATGAGGGAGACGGCAAGAAGGAAGGCCCTCCAAATTTCAACGGTTGGACAAAATAATAGACTTTCAAGGTCACCGAGCCTCAGAGGCCCTTCTGCCACGTGACTCTGACCTCAGCCTTGGGAGCCTCCGAGCGTGGGCTCTGCCTGCCAGTCTGCACGCCTGGCGGGGGTGGCCGATCAGAGATGGCTGGGGAATACCAAGCGTTCTTGCCGTAGGTCACAGTGCACCTTTGAGATTCCAAGAAAAACAAAGCTAAGAACAAAGCTCACGTTAACTCCTGCACACACTGAACAGGACACACCACCAGACAGCATCCCCATTGTGCCTGGGCTTTGGGAGGCAGAAATCTGTGGCTGTACCAGATTTTAATAGGAGTGGGGACCTGGCAGGGCTCCAGGCTCTGTGTGGCTGGACACCCACGCCCATGCTCTGCTCCCCGAGCCCCAGGTCAGCTCCCCACGGCCCACAGCAGATGGGCCGCGCAGACTGCTCTGATCTGCAGATTTTTCTCCCCTCTAAAATGAATACAACATGCTTCCAAGTCTCAACCAGATCTTAAGAAAATAAGAACAGCCAGAGGATTTCTTTGGTGTTATGGTTGTACAGTTTCCCAGACTGGGGGAGAGACGTGATTTGTGCTTTTCTGGCGATCGCATGGCCTATTGATGTTTCCGAAGACTTTCCAGTTTAAATTTAGGGCAGGCAACAGAACAAGAATGCAAAACACGTTTATATACGTGCTCTTTCTGTGTCATAAGGTGTGGAGCTTTCTGGTAGCCCATCTGCCAGAGCACTCAACAAGGCCTTGTGGTGCGTGGGGTAAGCGGGGGAGGGCCAGGAGGGCCTGGGTGGGGGGAGCCCCCGGTGTGGGCCCCGCCCTGACATAAGAAATGTGGTCTCTGGTCGTCGTTCACTGGGCCTCAATTTCCTCTTCAGACAAATAATGGCTTGAGAAGAAACCACTTGCAGGCCTTCTCCAGTTTTAACTTTTTATCAGTAGCCCTTCTCAAAGGTGAAGAGCTGTCAGAAGGTCCATAGTATTAAACACCTGCTCTGCTGTTGTGATGCCGCGTTTACAACACGGACGAGGAGAAAGGCCGACTGCCTGTGAGAGCAGGGTGTCTCCACTTGGGGCAGCGTCCAGACAGACGGTGGCTCTGCAGCGGATGTCAGAGCTGTGGGTTTCTTTCCGTAATGGACGTGGCATGGTCTCTGTCTCGTATGATTTCAGTGTCGTTCAGCCGTGGTGTTTCTGAGGCAGCTCTGTGCCTAGAGATGTGTTGGGCACCACGGGAATGACGTAGCAGGAGCAGGTGTTGGGGAGGTGAGTTGATAAACAAGCCCCAGCTCCGTGCATCTCACACGGCACACCTGCCCGGGTGAGGCCCAAGGGTTGGCATCTCTGGCAAGTTCGCAGGCCGTACTGAGCCTGCTCCCCCGAGGGAGAAGCCGCAAGATGCCAGGAGAGTTTAACTTAGATTGGGGTTCAGGGATGCCCTCCGAGGAGGGGTCAGCCAGGGAAAGA